GGGGGGTGTCTTTGTAATTTGTATAATGGTATGTTTGAGAACATGGATTTGGATTTGGCTCAAATTCCATGTTTGGAAAACTTAAAAATTTTGAATTTGGATTTGAGTCAAATTTTTCTCATTCATAACAAAGCTTAATTTGAAATTCATGTACCTCCCTTTGTCATTTGAAATTCAAGATTTCAAATTTTGAAATTAAAATGCATGAATTGAAATGAAATGCTAGTTGCCAAACACTACTTAAAGGTTTTTTTAAGTTGGAGTTAACCTATGTAATCTAATTTTTATTAGGTCGTGTTCTTTTAAAGTAAAGTGAAATTTGGTGTAAATAACACTAAAACATTACACTTTTCCCTATCTAGTACTTTACTTCTTTTTTTCTAAAAAAGTACATATTTTGTCGGTCATCTCATCCATCATTCCATCGTCTTAGCATTGTCCTCCGGTCACTATTCTGTTTGTGAACCTAAAAAAATGGAGCCAACCCAATCAACAAAAGCTGAGCGGTACCAATTATAACAATAGATACAAAATATAATAGCGCAAACATATACTTTTCTCAAAATTATTTACTTTGATAATATTCAATCATTTCTGTTTCAGTATTCCATAAAGGTGCAATATCCACATATTTGAACTTTTTCTTTACTTTGCTTTATTCTTATTTAACTGGGACTTCAAGTACTTAACGTACAAGACAAGTCTATTATGTAACTGGGACTCCGAGTACTTAACGTACACGACAAGTCCATTATGACGAGCTCGTACGTACGGCAATGGAGGGGTACTGGTTAATCCTGTGGAACCTTGTGAACCGTAGTTCACATATCAGAAATCGTTTATTAAATTTAGAAAATACAATTTGTATCTGTTTGTGTCCCATTTGAATCCATATTTCAAATTCATCTCATATTATATTTTTATATAAATAATTAGTACGTAATTTACTAATAAACATAGAGTACTTCAAAACTATCATTTTTTCTTTAAATAAAACTTATTAAAAACATCTCCCTTTTTTTTGATATAACAACTTATTAAAACCTTATTGGGCTAATTTTAGAAAGTTTGGACGTAAAGCATGTTCAAAATAATTAACGCCATTTTTTTCGAATTCTAGTGACGGAAATTAAACAGAATATATAACAAATATAGCATATATTAATGTATTATATTAAGTAACGATTGTTATTCGGGCGGCGGTAACAAGAAATTTTAATAAATCAGGGTTCCATCAACTTGGTCAAGCTTCGGCGTTTATCATATACTTTTACCTTTTTTTCTAATCACACAAGGCCTTTGATATTATATATATTTAAACTTAATTTTAAAAGTATGTATTGGAGAATAATATCCATGCACGTAGGGTATGTATTTATATGCCCATTACTTAACTATTAAGTTTTACATGTTTGACTTTTTGTGCTAGCTAGTAATTTGCCACTAACCTTTTTTTAGCAAGCCATGTATACTCCTAGGATAATAGGATAAGTGTTAAGTTATTACTCCATAATTAATTTACTTATCTCAATTAATTTTGTTCCGGTTCAAATTTTATCGTGATATTTTTTTCAGAGTTAAAATGTCAATCTGAATTTGTTGACATTAATATTAAAATTTACTATAATTTTTTTAATCTAACCTGGTCTGATTATCAATTAATTATTTTATTCATTGAAAATATCTAGACTGGTTTTCGGGGCGTTACATAGACGGTAGCTAGGTACCGCCTAACGGTACTCGGCTGTCGCCACAAGCAAATTTTCTCCGTTGGACTATGTACCTGGACGGTCGGGGGGTACCGAACTGATGGTATGAGGGTACTGGACCGACGGTACCAGGGTACCGTAGCAGGTACCGTGTCAGACCCCAGCCGCCCTTTCTATTGTTTGTCCCTATTTGAATCCCGGATTGATTCCGAGGTCTTGTGTGTTGCATGATGGTAAGTGAAAGGTATTTACACCCGACACTAGGCCACTAATTGTTAAATATGTACGTTTATGAACTTTATTATGAATATCTATGAACTTGGGAATATTAAAGTATGAACTTGAATACGGATAGGCTACCTAGCTCAAATGTAGGTAGGCCGGGAAAAAGAATAAGAATACAGTTAGGAATTACTAGCTGGTCACATGATGAGCTGACATGTATGCATGATCAGTTGGGTAAAGCATGCGCACGACGTAGATCTATTCATAGATGTGAGTAGGTGGTCTCACTCAGCCAACATTTGATGACATCGTATCGAGCAGGTTCTTCGATAAATATGGTTGAATAGGGACTCTATAAAGAATAAAGAATTGACCTTAGTCTATGATAGGTTACGAGCTTAGAATTAAGGGAGATTGATAATGAACTTGTATAAATATTATGTGGCGTAAATGCTTAAGTTAAGAACAAGTAAATTTGGTAACCCAGGTAAGAAGTTTGTGTAGAAAGAATATTTTCATTGATGATTTGTGTTAATTACATGTGTATTTATACAAGAGATCTCAATCCTAATTATGGTAGGAGAGACATAGTAGGAAGGTAATACAATTATGGTAACACTATAATACAAGAATAATTAAATATAAATAATATATTCAACATGCTCCCGGCTACGTCGGATGTAGAAGCGGTTTGATACCCAAGCTATTTCGGAAGTCAAGGAATAGAAGTGAGGGCAGTCCTTTGGTGAAGATGTCGGCATACTGGGAGGAAGATGGAACGTGCAAGACCCGAACGTGACCGAGCGCCACCTTGCCACGTACGAAGTGTATATCGACCTCCACATGTTTTGTACGCTGATGCTGGACGGGATTGGTGGAGAGGTAGACTGCGCTGACATTGTCGCAGAAGACAAGAGTGGCACGCCGGAGAGGTTGCTGCAGCTCAAGGAGAAGATTACGCACCCAAATGGTTTCGGCTACGGCGTTGGCTACAGCCCTGTACTCAGCCTCAGCGCTTGATCTCGAGGTGGTTGCCTGTCGTTTGGATGACCAGGAGATCAGGTTATCCCCCAAAAATACGCAGTAGCCTGAGGTAGAGCGCCTGGTGTCCGGGAAGCCGGCCCAGTCTGCGTCAGAGTAGGCCTGGAGAAAGTCTGTGGCCGATGGGGATAGATGAATGCCATGAGTGGTAGTGCCACTTAGATATCGTAGAACGCGCTTCATGGCAGTGAGATGAGCATCGCGGGGTGCATGTAGGTGGAGGCAGAGCTGCTGGACTGCATAAGTGATGTCAGGTCGCGTGATGGTGAGATACTGTAGTGCTCTCACAATGGACCGGTATAAGGAAGGATCTGGGAGTACTGTGCCTGTGGAGGAGGATAACTTTGCCTTCGTGTCGATCGGGGTATTGATAGGGCGACACGAGAGCATCCCAGCACGCTCGAGTATGTCATGTATGAACTGGGTCTGGTGAAGGAAGAGTCCTGCAGAGCTGCGCTGAACATTAATACCAAGGAAGAAGTGTAGATCCCCCATGTCTGTCATGGCAAATTCTGTCTTAAGCTGATGGATGAGGCTCTGAAGGAGTGATGATGAGGAGGCAGTGAGGACGATGTCGTCCACGTAGAGGAGGAGGTAGGCTGTTCCCGTGGTGTGGGAGAAGATGAAGAGTGATGTGTCAGCCTTGCAACCCCGGAAGCCAATGGACTGGATGAAGCCTGCAAATCTGTGGTACCACGAGCGTGGGGCTTGCTTGAGCCTATAGAGTGCCTTCTTGAGTTTGCATACATAGTGAGGTCTGGCGGCATCCTGAAACCCAGAAGGCTGGCTGTCTCCTGAAGGTGCCCATGTAGGAACGCGTTTTTGACATCAAGCTGGTGGATGGGCCAACTTTGAGACAGGGCAAGGCTAAGGACGATTCAAATAGTGGCTGGCCTGATGACAGGGCTGAAAGTCTCGTCGTAGTCGACACCAAAACGCTGATTGAAGCCACGAACCACCCAACGAGCCTTGTACCTGGATAACTCACCAGAGGGTCCAAATTTGTGTCTGAAGAGCCATTTACCGGTGATTATGTTTTGTGAGGGGGAGGGGGGGTACTAATTCCCATGTCTCATTCTTAATCAAAGCATTAACTTCATCACACATAGCAGCATGCCAGTTAGGATCTTTAAGTGCACTACGGTAGGTTGGGGGGAGGGGTGAGATGGGGCCAGAGGTGTTGAGATTAAGAATTTGTTTGGGACGAAACACCCCAGATTTGGATCGGGTTTGCATGGGGTGTGTACTTGGGTTGGGGCCAGGGGGTGGGTTGTGGGCTGGC